ATAAAAAATTACATGCACCCAAATTATTTGAAGCAAGCTCTTTTCTTTGCTGTTGGCTACATAGTACAAGCAAGACATTGTATGGACCAAAAATCAGATTAGCGTGGTTATTTTCAAAGAAAGGCTAAAGGATAACTTCTTAAAGGCAGGTGTATGCCACAAGATGCAGTTAAGTACCTACTGAAAAAAAAAAAAAAAAACTACTAAAAATATTAAAGATGCTCAAATCCCAGTAAAAGTCAAAGGGACTCGGGGAACTTTATTGTTAAAATTCCCCAGAAGCGTCAGTGTGATTTATGTTTCTTTGTAACCCTCTAAATTCCTTTGATAGTCAGGTCTTATGCTTTTCTCTTCCTTAAAAATCCCACCAGAGAAGAATATGACTTGGGAGTTGAATGCCCCCTTCCAAATGGGATTTTGGCCTGGGTACTTAAACCTGTGCCGGTGCCAATGTCTCACAAAACTGAAAGGATTTTACATCTGTGAGGGAGTCCCATAGCTGTAAGAGAAGGTAAATTGGCAATGGATTGAAAACAAATTACTAAATCTTCGCATGCCTCTTTTTTTCCAGCTGCCTATGTCTCTGTCCTTTAAAGGACACCCTCCACGTCCTGTTTCCCAGGAGGTCCATTTGGTTTCTCCTTTCTCCCCACTACCGTCTCTTTCATTCTGCGAAACGCCTCCCTCCCCTTGCCACTTTGCTCAATTCTTTCCAGGGAAGTGTGATGCTGTCACCTCACCCTCCATTCTGCCTTCCCGACTGCCCCAGCCTGAGTCTCATGCTGAGCCAGCTACGCTGCTTTTCAGTGATAAATCATATCATCACCCCTTTCCCCTTTGACATGCCAATTCTTTTTTTTTTTTTTTTCCCCAAAGACTTGCATAAACCACCTTTAACCGTGGAATACAGAACATTCTTTGTAACATAAATTTCAAATGCTCCTCAGAAAATTCTGAGGGAAACTCCCAGTAAACATCAGAGAGCACAAGAGACCCACCCAGTGCCCTGCTTTTGGGTAACTTTTCCACAATCTGGGTAGGTAAAAAAGGAGCAGGGAGAGCTGTCAGTTCAGTGATACCAGTGCACTCCGCACTTTTTGCACAAAAAAAATGATTTGGATTAAACTCCCTGGAATTACTATAATATATACAAAGAAAGTAAAATACAGAGCCTTTTAATGTCATCTCCAACCAAACTGAAGTAAATTAATTAATGAGTAATGTCTTAATAGTGTTAGAAGAGCCAATGAGAAATTATTGCCATTAACTATTGTAGAGCTTTAGCGTTTCAGTCCGGCCCAAACCATGACACTAATGTCTGCATGTATGTGTATGTAGACATGGATGTGCACAGAAATTATTTCTACAAAGACTGTATTGAGTAACTGTTTGAGAAACCTGTACAAATGCTGAGTATGTCTTGATCAGTGCATCAGAAAAGTCTCCCAGGTATTTGTCACACCATCAGTGCTCTGAGAGTGATTTTCCCCTCTATAGCAAGGGAGCGACAGGAACCTCTCTCACAAAAGAAATAGAAAACACTGTTGATTTTTATTTTCAGTCTAAGTCTCCAGAAAAAAACAAATCATATAGCCTGCCTTCCTGTTTCTTGTTCAGATCTAATAGTGTTATTCAGATTTAATTAGTGTTTCTGCTGGAGCAGTTTCTCTCTCCTGTTGTGTCTCCTACATTAGTGGGGCTTTTTTTACGAGTTTTTATTTGGAAAACAGGTTTACAAAAAGTGCTAGGTTTGAACATTAAGAGACTTTGTTTGTTACTTAGACCTATAAAATCTCCGTGAGAACCCAGGACCAAGTGGGTGGCTTCACCGTCCATCAGCTGTCACTGGCAAAGTGAGCTCCGCACCTGATCCGAGCCCCCGCCGTGAGCTCCGCTGCCGAATGGATGCGGTTGTAAGGGCATCTTGGATGCTCGGCCTCATCTGCGTGGGGACGTTCATGGAGCAGCACAGCTACGGCAGTCCAGGGGCGTAGCTGCAGAGAGCTTTAGTGAAGACTGACTGGATCAATATGCCTATCATTGCTTATGTCAAGTAATGAACTCCATCATTACTTGTATCAGTGTGCCACATGGCATGTTAATTTGCACGTGGCTGCTCATAATATGCATTCTATAGTGTGTTTGTGCAGCCACTTTTGTGTAGGTACATTGTGAGGACAAGCCGTAGAAATGCAAAGAAATAATATGCCACTATACACGATAGTATATATATAAAATTGAACTCCCTCTTCTTCCATTGCATAAGACCAGCAGGCATGAGAAGAAAATCAATGCAATTCCACTGTTTGTAACTGCAGTGACTAGAAACAAGGACATATAACAAAGAGATCTCTGGCACACAACGAGGGCATGTTGGCAAAAAATAAATCCTGGTAGGAAGGTTGCACTGTAGGGACCCGCAGTTTCCCTGGGAGCGGGAGAAGGCTGGGGTAGGTGCTCTGCTCCTGTTGACCTTTTCTATACACTTCAGAAAAAGCTCCTTTTGACTTCAGCAGGAGTTAACCTGTGAGCAAGGGGAATACCCAAGAGAGGTTATGCGTTTAGAAAACATGTTAAAACTTGCTGGGTGCTCTGGAAGAAAAGGGCATTTTTACAAATGGGAATTGTTCTGGGCAGGTGAGGATTCCCCTGCCAACTGCCCTACTGCTGTTCCTGCTTCATCCTAAACTGCTTGTGTTGCTTCTGTGATGATAGTTCTGTCTTTCTCCTAGGTGTTTCTCTTATAGCAATAATGCCATCTTCTTTTACATTTACTGCTAGCAGTACCACAAACCAGCATCCTGTTTCCCTTCTTTATTGCAGCTGCATATGGGGCAGAAGGCTTTAGGGACTTTCATGCAATAATTCCCAAATCTTTTTCCCGTAAGTATACTGCAAACTCAGCTCACTACAGAGCATTTCCATCTAGTTCCTACTTTTATGATTTTTGTTTCTGTCATTTCACTTCTCAGTAATGTACGTTTGTCTGCATACGCTACCAAAAGGCTTAAGTAGTCTGATCTTTCTGCTTTGTTCGCATGTATTTTGTTTTAACTTCACATAATGCCTACTTCACGAACCACCTTCTGCAAATCCCTGGCAGGCAAAGAACCTGTAATTGCTTTGTATAAATATATTTACATTCAAATTATTATTATTATTAAAATAAAGAGAAAAAATTGGTGTGGGAATCATGGAAAGTCTCTCAAATGCTCAAGTTAAATAGTTCTGCTTCTGTTTGCCATGGTGAAAACAGCAGTACACAGTTGTAGTCCACTAAATTTGCAGAATAGTGTAGATCGCTTCTGTTTAGCCAATCATACCATCTTTGTAAATCAGTGTTTGGTCATTGATTCTTTTTTCCCATATCTCTAAATTATTCCCCTTTTTAGGGCATATATTTTAAAGGAAAAACTGCTATTTATGATGTGCACTCATTCTGTCTTGTATACGATTTCTATTAAAAATGCAATATTTGAAAAATCATTAAAATGCCTAGATTGGTAGACTTTATAAAAGGTGTCCAGTCAAGCAGTGTTCAGAAATGTGAACACCTTTCCACTCAACATGTTTCCCAGTAGGATTTTGAGTCAGATAACTGGTGCCAGTCGCATCCATGCAATCCTCCTGGGACACCTGGGGGGGTTACAGAGTGTAGCAGAGAAGAGTTTGTCAGACCTTTCAACTTCAAATGAATGTCAAGGTCTTTCGTGGCTTGGGGTAATTATTGCCCATAGCTTTGTTATGTCATTGCTACACCACCACTTATGAATAAGGCTACCATGAAACTACTGTTCCACAAAAGGGAAAGACCTGGTCTTCATTGGGTGAAACAGACCCCTCCTGTACTCAGCCACTAACTAAATGCTCTCCTTTTTGGGGTGGGGTGGGGTGAAGGAAGAGGTTTTTCACAGAAAGGAAAGTAAGATTTGGGGCAATTAAGTGGTCTTTTTCAGGATGATGAAGAACTATTTTTTTCAGCAAAATCATCAGATTAGAAAAGAGGGAGATAACTGTAAACATGATTTATTCTACACAAAATGTCACAGAGTCCTGTGGAGAGAAGAGGAATGAATACTGACATTAACTGATCTGAATCTTGGCCCTTTTCCATAACATTTAGGTTTGCTGTGTTCATATCAGATCAAATTTACCAACCTATGTGTTATCGCATGTAATGAGGCCACGCCAAATTTATACCTGAATTATTCTTCTAGCTTCAAGCGATTGTCACTTACGGGATGATAACACAAAGAATTTATCTAATAAAGTCAAAACAGTTTTCCCACCCGCATTTGTTGATTTGACTGTTTTTTATTAGTAACTCATGGCTGTAGAGAGCCTCTCCTCATACTCAGCAATCCTAATCCTGCTGTCCTGAAAAAACAATTATCACTCCTATAATTTCCTGTAATGATACTTCTTGCTCTTAAATTCTTTCTTCTATCCTTCCCCACCCTGGCTTCTTAATCAGTGTTTGTACTCTTTGCTTTCCTGTTGTCCTTGCTTTCCCCATAGTACTGCAAACCAAATATTTGGATTCAGTGCAACCCTCGGGATCTTCCTGCCAAGTGGAGAATGTTGCATTTTCAGTTCATTTTCATCCATTGTCTTTGATGAGTTACCTGCTTTCACAATTGTTTTGCACAGATCCCTGTGAAGTGGATTAATTTTAAGTTTCATTCCAATTAGCCTGAATTGTCAAAATGAATGTTACAACTACAAAAGTCTCAAAGTGACCTAGGAACAGACTTGTAATGTTTTTGGGTTCTCAGCTCCCTGGATGCCTTGTATTTGTCTTACTGATATTCACTGTTCACTGCTCCATGCGTTGCAAAGTCATCTCATTGCCCGTAGAAATGTAGTCGTGTTTGTAGCTTTTGTTATTTAGGTATATTGTACATGCTGTTTAGAATTTGTCTCCTTTGATGTGATTGTTTCTTTGCCACCATATTTATTCTGTAACACAACTGAGTGGCATCCTGTATTGTTTCTTTCAGCCGGTAATATTAAAATAGAGACTCAGAGTGATGAAGAGAATGGGCGTGCCTGTGAAATGAATGGGGAAGAATGTGCGGAGGATTTACGAATGCTTGATACCTCGGGAGAGAAAATGAATGGCTCACACAATGGCCCAGGCAGCAAGGCTATGTCAGGAGTTGGAGGCATTCGACTTCCTAACGGAAAGCTAAAATGTGATATCTGTGGGATAATTTGCATCGGTCCCAATGTGCTCATGGTTCACAAACGAAGCCACACTGGTAAGGCCTGCCATAGTTTTTCCTTTAGTTGACAAGAATTGGCCACATATTAGGAACTAAGACTGATTTTCTGTATCATGCACATGTTCCCTCTTGTAAGATAATGCAGCATCGGTGGGCATTTGGAACTCGGTTATTTTGTTATGCCATTTCGCACAGCACAGGAATTGAGATTTCGTCTTGATGGAAGTCCATCTATCGGGCTAAAAATTGTGCAGTTTGTTTGGTCTGAAGCTGCATCAAAAATTCAATTTTTAAAAAAATTTAAAGAAGTCTTGTTTAATTTCCAAGAAATTTCTAAGAATTGCTAAAGAAAAACCTATTTGTGGCTAACTCTGAAATCGACCCAGTTCTAATGTTTCCAACAATGCAACAAAGCTCATTATGGATCAGTGATTATGCATGTGACTGGCAAAATAAACATTAAGGGAAATGTACTGACAATCTTAGTAAAAAGGGGGTTAATTTTATGTCAAATGCTTCATGAAGTAAAAACAAGTATCGTCACTGGTCAAATCTGAACTAAAGGGTTTCAACTGGGACACTAAAAGAGACATGGAAAGGTGTTGTGCTCCATAGGGATGGCTTTTAATTACACAGTGCTGTGAATCTTCTTGCCTCAATTTTCTGATTCTAAATGGTCTCAAAGAGTGCAAAAAATGAAGAGACTGAAACAAATGAAGAAGTAAAGACCAGGGTGAGTCTTATCTTACCTGATATAAGCTGTCTAAAAATTGGGGTTCCAATCTAAACTCTAAGGTCATTCCACAGTTAGAAGAACGGAACCGTACTGTTGTGCTACACGAGTTACTTTGAAAATGAATAAAATATTTGGCATTTTCACATGAATATTCAAATGTGAAGGAATCTTAAAATATTTTTAAGGTAAGAACGACCTGTCCAATAGTTAGATTCCACTGAAATAGTCGTGCTAGTGAACACATAGATACTTTCTTCCTCCACATCCCCCCAGTCATGCTTAAATGATTTCCACAGATTTACTAAAGAGTGCGATTAGCAAAGTGTTTTCAGAGTTTAATGGAGAGGATCCATGAAAAGACCCCGAGTGTCGTCCACCTCCCCCAGTGCTAATATCTGTCATTGTAACTGTGACTGTTCAAGCTCTGGAAGGGTGTGATCTGTTAGGGTGATGTGGGTTCAGGAGCAGTGCTGGGGATAGTTGGCAATGCTGTTACATTGCCTACTTCAAAGTAGTCTTCAATTCAATATGATAAATCCCTCTGTCAGGGAAGAGCAGATGATTATCTTTATTGGAAAAGTCACAACTAGTTCTCAGAAGGGAGGCTACAGCCTACTTCCTAGATATAATATAGTGCTTGTTGGTCCAGTGTTTCCTTTTTTTTTTTTTAATTGAATGTTAATGTGATCCTGTAAAAGTTGATAACATGTATATGGAAAATGACTTGGACATGAGGCCTTTTATACATATTCATGGGCTTGAAGAGGATGCTGCAGGAGTTGAAATAAAATGTTGCAACTTAAGATGCATTTAGAGGTAGAAGTCTTTGTGCTCGTTTAAGGAGGCAGCTGATTTATTAAAAGTACGCTGTTGCTGCTTCGGGGGAGCTGTTTTGGGCCCCTGAGGGTCAGAGGCAGTGTTGGCACCAGGGCTGAATGGCCTCTGTGGGGACACACCTGATTTTAGGGAGGTGGTAATTGGTACCCGGCAGGCTGGGTCTGCGGAGGATGAGCTGTGCTGCCTCTTCCCTGCAGCAGCATCCCCGGGGGCCGGTTTCCCTGGTACAGACCTCCATCTGCCCAAAGTCCCTGCCTGGCAGAGGGACTGTGTGTGCCGGCCGAGGGTGCTCAAGGCGCTCCCACGCAAGGGCTGCCGCTCCCAGACTTCCCCGCCCTTTGCAGAGCTCTCCCCTTGCCCATGGGACCCTCTTTTTAATCAGGGAACATAGTTAAAACCTGCAGTGGGAGCACCCCACGAGCTGCACTTCGCTCAGCAGCACCCCCTTCTTTTATAGTTAATAAAACTAAAGGGTGTGACTTTGCGCCCCCGAGTCCTGCCATGGACAGAAAGGCTTTGCTTTCCCTCCCTCCCCCCTGGCCCTCGGCTCCTCTCCTGAGCAGTCTCTTCAGGTGAGCTCAGGCGGGTTTTCGGGGGCTGGCAGGGAAGTGGAGGCTCAGAGCTGGGAGTTTAAATTAAAGGGACGTCATGAGGAAACAGTGGTGACTGCTTTTCCTTTCAGCTGCGCTGTGAAAATTAAAGTAGAAATGGAATATACTATTACAGACGTTTAACTGACTACGCCGAAGCCCATTTCAATACATGCCCGGTGAAGGAATAAGACTCGTAAATGAATTACTTTGCTGCTAATTCATGTAAAACCTGCATACGCAGTGAGGTTTCCTTAACTAAATATTTGATAAGTGAACAAAACTCTGGCACACTAAAGTGCCAAAATAAAATGACTGCCTGACCTGATAAAAGGCATAATTACTTTTAATGAATACACCTGCCAAGTGCAGATATGCGAAGCGGCACCTGATATTTCTGCCCCTTCCTGTCTGCAGGCAGCTGTACAGCACTGGCGGCTTCCTCGCACCTTACCTGTTGCTCCCGTCTGCGGAGCGAATCCCACTGGCAGATGCCCGGCTCCCCTCACTCTCCTCCCCCGTGGCCTTCAGTACTTTGATTTTCTCCAGCTTGCTGCTCTCTTGCTTGGTGTTTAGGGAAAAGGAGATCTGGAAAGGAGACAGAAACCCCCTCCTGCTCCCTGGCACTGAGACCTCAGGGTGTAGATTCAAGGCTTCGCTGGCTCAGTGCGCGCATACGTGTATGCGTGTGTGCTTCTGTATTTATGTGCAAATATATTTGTGTGTGCATAGGTGAATATATTCCCTCCTTATATGTACACTCCTTTAACGTAAGCCACCAGTTAGTTCACTTATGTCTTTAGTTGGATCTGAATGACTCAAATTTATTTAGAAAACTAATGCCTGTTGAAGAACGAGCTTTTTAGAAAAAAAAAAAAAAAAGAAAGAGCGCTATGCATGTCTGAGTGTTAGGTGATTTTGTCATTATATTGTTTAAAAAATGAGAAAGATTTTAATTAAGATGATAAACATTCTTCACTGAGTAAGTAGTCCAGTGCCCGTGCTCCCACTAAGGCTTGCAAATCACTGCCATGGTGGTTGAGTCAATTGAGGGTCCCATCGCAATTTTCGCTCCTGGGCCCACGTTCATCTCTAGCTACACGCTGTGTGGTGAAATCTGCCCTGGATAGGCAGGTGCTGTTCAGAACCGTCGAGAAAATAACACACAGAGCTAGCTGACTGTTTAAACAAAAGATGCATTATGTATTTTTTTCTTTCCTCCTGTCCCTTCCCCATTTTTGGGAGGGTAGTGTCACACCCAGTAACCTTCCATCGGTGACCATCTCCATCCTGGCAAGGCTGGGAGCTTTGCTGTGCTCACAAGGCAGATGTTCCCCACCCCGGTAGTTGCAGCATGGACGACCAGTTTCAGGGTCTTTTGGTGGTGGTGGTGTCGTTTCCCTTGTACAGCGACGTGAGGGCAGGTTCCCTTACATTTTATCCCACTGTAAGTTTTGTAGAAATATTTGGTGTGCAGCAGGCTTGTTTGAAGTGCTCCATCCATCTCTCTTCTCCACTCAGTGCGAGATTTTACCCTGTCATTGGGAGAGCTGTAGGCTGGAGATAGATTTCATTCTTACTTTGCTTTACATTTCATTCCTGGAGTGCTTTTACAATCCTTGTTTTCTCCTCTTATGCTCCTCTGAGTAAAAATAACAGAAATGAATGCTAGAAAAGCTGTTTAGTAACAACTAACCATTTCTTCTGAATTTATGTCCTCCATGACAAACTGACTTCTTCAGTACTGTTTCAGTCCATTTCTGAAAAGTACCTTCCACGCTGAGTAACTGCCCCAAAGCTTAAGATGTAAAGCAGACAGACTCTCACCTGTTTTCTTTTTTCCCCTAACAACTACTGTGCATGGCTTATGAAATACATTGCAAAATCCTGTAAGGCCAATGCTGGAAATTTTGTGGGCCACCCCAGTTGAACCAGTTGCGGCTACAGTTTAGATTAATACAGCTACTTGGTGGATAAAGAAAGTGAGCTTGTTTGGCTTGACAGGGACTCTGCTGACCTGCTTGAAGCTGTTTTACCGATGAAAATGTCTTGCCATAAAGTAGATTCACTTTACTGGTTGCTGAATGCTCTAACGCTGCCAGCCTTGATGGTTGAGTTCGCAGATTTTGGGGTTTGGGACTGTGCTGCTGCCTAATTGATTTTCAGCTATTCTTTTGCTTTACCCAAAAGTCGAAAATGATCATGCTGCACATATATGCACACCTATGGACATACAAGCTGGTCCTAGATGTGCAAAATCATACATGATGGTTAGGTAAGAAAGAAGAAAGAAATTGTTTAGCTTGTATTTATTTTTTTGTATTTTAACTTCAGCACTGAAATTTTAAATTCAGTATTATTGTTACATAAAGAAAATCAAAACTGAGAACAGAACATCTCTGGGCTGTTTCTAATGTTGTCGATGCATCATAATTACTATAGCAGATTACACTGATGCCTAAGAGAAACAGAATTCAGCAAATGAGTTTCAAAGGCTGGTTTGGCTTAGTTGAGGGCTGCGGAGAAAC